TTTTTGAGATGGAGTCTTGCTGTGTAGCCCAGGCTGGCCTCAAACTCATGGTGACCCTCCTGCCTCAGCCTCCCGAGTGCTGGGACTACAAATGTGTGCCACCAGGCCCGGCTTCCACTGTCATCTCAAACCATGCTCCCCTCCTGCCCCAGGGCCTGTCAACTGGTGTTTTGACCACGTAGAGCTCTTTCCCACCACAGGACCCTGGGCCGTGCTGTTGTTCCCTCTACCTGAAATGTCTTTCCCACATGTTTTTAGTCATTTTCACTCATCCTTAGGCATCGTCTCAGGGATGCTCCTGGCCTCTGACTTCCCTGTACTCTGCTTTGTGTTTTTTGTGCCAGCGGTAGAAAGCAGGGCCTTCACACCGAACACATCCCCAGCCCCACTTCCGCCCCTCCGCTCCCCTTCCCTTTCTTCCTCTCTTGCTCGCCTGTTTTCTTTGTACCGGGGTCAAACTCAGGACCTTATGCTTGGAGGCAGGCAGCAGTACCACTACGCTACATCCCCGGCCCTCTTTCTTTTCTTCTTTCTTCCTACCTTTCTTTTTTTTTTGGGTACTGGAGATCAGACTTGGGACCTTGCCCTTGCAAGGCAGGTGAGCCACTGGGCTAAACCCCTGGCCTGCTCTTCCTTCCTTCCTTCCTTCCTTTCTTTCTTTCTTTCTTTCTTCCCTCCTTCCTTCCTCTTTCGCTAATTAATTAATTTAATTTTTGGTTTTTTGAAACAGGATCTCATTATGTAGTTCAGGCTAACCTTGAACTCACTGTGTAGCTCTGGCTGGCCTCAAACTGGTAGCCTCAGCTTCCCAAGTGCTAGGATTAAAATTGTGTACCACCAAGCCCCACTGTGTGCTCTGTTTTTCTCAGTGCCTCATCTCTCTTCCCATGGCTTGTGAAATCCAGGGAAGGACCACCCAGGACCTAGTACTGGGTCATCTCCTGCCTCTAGATGTGACCTATCACTCACCCAATAACTTGGTCACCTCAGGTGCTTTCTTGCTCCCATGCACACCTAGTCAAGCAGCAGGGCTGGAACTGGAGGGCCTGGGTGTAAGGAAGGGCGCAGTGTGCCTGCTTCCTCAGTAGCTCACCCCTCTGTTGGCTCTGTCTCAGATCCCTCCTGTGATCCAGCCTCTCCCTCTGCAGAGTGGGGTTCTAAAGCTTCGACCTCATTTAAGGCCACAGAAGCACTGCCCTAGCTGTGGCCTAAAGCCCTGTGTACTGTGGGACCTGTTAGTACCTGAGGCCAAGGTGACACAGCTGTTCCTGAGCTACCTGCTGGGAACAAAGGGCCCATAGGACCTCTCTGAGCAGCTGCCACTGGGCAAAAGTGCTGTGCCCCAGAGCCGCAGAGAGTACCACTGGCTCACACATGCATCCTGCACGCGTTTATTGCTTCATTAATTTAACAGGCTCAAATTATCTACAGTGTGTCGGGCACACTGCCAGGAACTGTGTACAGATAGTCACGGTCCCCGGTCCCCAGCAGGAGGGAAACATAATCAAGTATATAGAGAGGACACAGAGGGTAGGAAGTAATTAAGTCATTGACACCATAGAGACGAGTTGGGGATGGATCACTACGGAGAGGACGGCGGGCATGAGATCTGGTCATGAGGGAAGTCTCGGGGAGAGGATCTGGACTGAAGAGATGAAGGCCCCGCCCCCAGCCGTGCAAAGGTGGCTATGGTCAGTGGCCACAGCTGCCAGAGGAGCAAGAGAGACGGGCCAAAGGGGCCACAGCCCGTGGGCTCAGCCCAGGACCCTGCTGGGATGGAATGAATGGAAACCAGCTGGGAGGGCTCAGTCCAGGAGACCATGCTTGGTGGGGTAGCGGGAGGCAGTGAAGCAGCCCCTGTCCAGGAGAGTGGCAGTGCGGCAGCTTGGGCGAGGGAGCAAGAGTGACAGGGGCAGTTCAAACTGCCGTAGAGGTGGCATCTGTGGGCCTTGCAGCTCGTCACAGTCCCATGGCAGAGAGCAGAATGGGTCATGGATGATGCCTGGGCAAGTGGTGCTGCTTTTTGAGACGGAGGAAGCAGAGGGAAGAGGTCTGGGAGGGGCATGCAGGGAGCCAGGACAGCGGGGGTTTGCTGGGACTCGAGCTCAGAAGGGGGATCTGCACTGAGCATGAATTTGGGCTGCACATATACCCGGAAGTGGACAAGAACCATGAAGGAGAAGAGAGATGGGGCCCTCCCAGGCCTGTGTGGTAGAAGTGGGAACCACGTTGGGTGTGGTGACACACACCTGTGATCTCAGCTACTCGGGAGGCTGAGGCAGAGTGGCCCCGAGTTCAAGGCCAACCTGGGTAACTTGGCAAGACCCTGTCTCAAAATGAAAAGTAAAAAGGCTTGGAGGTGCAACTCAGTAGGAAACTCCGGATCCAATCCTCGGCACCACCAAAAACAGAGGGAAGCAGCAAAGGAAATGGTGGAGGTAGGAGGAGACCTAGCAGGGTGGGAAGAGGTGGAGACTGAGGTGCACCTGCTAGATCTAGCCACGGGCAGGTTGTTGGTGTCTGCACCACATGCAGGGCAGCGAGTTGTGGGGCTGGAGTAGGTGGAAGAGAGAGGAGAGATAAGGAAGCGGCAGCAGGAAGTGCAGACATTTTGGAAGTTCTCCTGTGAGCTGCTGGTCTGTGGGTCAGCACATCCTCTTGGTCCTGCGGACCAGGGCGCCCCTGTCACCTCACGTCAGACCAGCCCCACGTGGCTCCCCACAGCCGCGGTGGGCAACTTCAGTGAGTTCTTTGTCGAAGCTTATGGGACAGGTGCTGTCACCTCCCTCTTATAGAAGAGGAGCCTGTGGTTCTAGGAGGTCACAGCCAGGAAGTGGCCTGGGTCCCCTGTCCCATCCCCTTTGCTGGCTCTGGGCTGAAGGCAGCCTGGAATTTGAGCCAATGCTGCTTTTCCCTGGGAAGGGGCTGAGCTGATGGTGCCTGGGTCTCCCCCTTCTCCCTCTCCACAGCGGTTCCTCAGTGACTATGGCCTGCAGTGGGTGGGCGAGCCCATGGACCAGGAGAACTCTGAGGACAAGACCGTCTCGGAGGATGACACAAGGGACCGGATGACGGCCAAGAAGTTCTGGAAGCCAGGTAGAGTAGAGGGAGCACCGGGGCCTCCAGGGCGTGCTCCAATAGCATCCTGTTGCCCTGCCGCTCACCAGAGACCCCTCATTCATGGCTGGCCTCCCAGGTGGGACTCTGAGGAACCCATGCTTTGCTCAAGACCCCAGGAAGGAAAGGCCAAGGCCTACGGCACTGCCCACCAACTGGCCGGCCATTATCTTCCTGGTCTTGCCTCAGTCTCTGCTTGTCAAAAGCTCCAGAGACCCAGGGAAGCCAGATGCAACAAGACTTGTTTGCCTCATGCTCCATAGTTTATAAAATGTCACCCCTCCAAAATCTGTTGCCTACAAAAACAATCTGTCAGTCAGGTGTGGTGGTCCAAGCCTATAACCCCAGCATTTTGGGGTCTGAGGCAGGAAGAGCCCAGCTTGGGCAATTTAGCAAGACCCTGTCTCAAAATAAAAAGGATTAGGGGTGTAGCTTAGTGTGAAGACTACAGGTTCAATCTCCATGCCACAAAAATAAATAAAATAAAATAGGTCTAGAGATGTTGGTCAGTGGTAGAACACTTGCCTTTTGTACTCCAGACCTTCGGTTCGATCCCCAGTGCTGAAAGGAGAGAGAGAGAGAGAGAGAGAGAGAGAGAGAGAGAGAGAGATGATTGTGCACAGAGAGGACAGGAGGAGTCAGGCCCGGCCAGCAAGCATGACTGTGGGAAGATGGCTCCTCCATGAGGGACACATCAAGCAAGCTCGGGGAGCTGTGCACCCCAGGAGATGCCAGGGGCAGAGTTCGTCATGGCTACATGTGCTCCTCTCCTCTTGTTGGAAAGCCTCCTTCTGGAGGAAAGACCTCTAGTCTCCTGGTGGGGGAGGCTCAACCTGATGGTTGATTTCTGGTTCTGCCTTACTGAATTTCTCATCTTCCCCCAAAAGGATCAGCCTCCACCCTGCGTTTCTTTGTTGTCTAGGCTTTGAGCAAGGCTGACTCTGAAGCCAAGAGCTTCCCATCTAAAACAACCTGTGGAAACCACTTCTGGTCCACCTTAGAGCTCCCTGGCTGCAGGGACTTCTCAATCCTCACCTTTCTTTTCTTTCTCTTTCTTTTGAAATAGTCTGGCTATGTAGCCCAGGCTGGCCTCAAACTTGAAGCAGTCCTCCTGCCTTAGCCTCCCCAGTGTAGGGATCGCAGGTATATTCTACAATTCCTAACTTGCTTTTCATCCTAAGAGGGGCCTTGATTTAGCTCTCTGATAGATGAAGAAGTGCTTTCCATTTCTAGCAGCTGTCTTCTGGGGCCTCCTACAGCCTGCTCCTGACCCAAGGGCCCTCTGTTCCCAACCCTGGCCTTTTGTGGCCTGAGGCTCTAGCTGGTTCCTGGTTCCCCTCTATGGATACCACTCCCCATGCACTCTGGGGCAGTGGCGATGAATGAGCATCATGTTTGCTGGAAGAGGTGATTAGAATGTGCTAGAACCCCAGGAGGGTTCTTGCCCCAGGAAGGAAAGTCAGTGCACTTAGGAAAGAGCCCCACATAGAGGAGATCTCCAGGATGATGAGCATCGGGGAGGGCGCTGTGACATGTGCTTCAGGGTATGTGAAGACACGAAAGGGACAGTCCTGCTCTGGCCTCAGCACTGTGGGCCAGTGTCGGGCCCTGAGAGGGCCACTTATCTGTTCTTCCTGTGCTCCTGTCCCTCTCCAATTCTCCCAGCTCTTCTGCCAGCTGCCCTGTGCACCTCGAGCCTTCCTCCCAGGTCCAGCCCTGAGTGAGTGGTGCCTGCTTCAAACCTCTAGCTCGGGAGGTCACACTGACCCTGGGGGTGGCAGCCCTCTCTCCCATTCTTGGAGGCTCAGCCCAAACCCAGCCTCCTCCATCAGGTCTGTGCTGCATGCTGCCTGTACTGCTCCATGGGCTGCCAGGTAGCTATGCCAGCACCTCATGGGAAGCGGCTCAGGCTGGCTGGGCCGAGAGGGACCCCAAGCCTCCTCTAGGAAGGAGACTAGTATTGATTGGCTCGTAGGGCTGCTGAGCACTTGGATTGAGAGAGTCCCTGGGGTGCTTCTTGTGGCAGATGTGCTAATGAATGACCATCCATCAGCCCAGGTTCCTTAGCCCAGGTCCTACCTAGTGCACCTGGCCTAAGGCTTGCTTGGCACACAGGCCAGGGCTGTGTGAGATTGGCTGTGGTGCCCAGTATGCCCAGGCCTGGAGCGTCAGAGCATAGTGTGAACAACCCACAGGATGAAGTGGGGACAGGGGTAGCACCAACCTCAATGCCAGGGGCCAGAGGAAGGCTGCAGGTGGGATCCTGCAGGCCTGAGCTCAAACCCTGCCTTGGCACAGGCTGGCTGTATCCTCTGTGGGTCTCTCAGACCCTCTCCTCTGCGCTGGCTCCTCTAAGGAGCAGTGTGAAAAGTCCTCAGAGCAAGTGTGGCTTGCAGATATGTGATAATAGCGCCTCCATTTCCTGTAGCAAGAGTCTTTGTGTGAGGTGGTAGGGCTGGAGGGCAGAGCACCTGAGAGGGGTGGGGGCACCGTGGCACTACAGCACAACTGGCGGGGCCACCGCACACCCGGCAGTGGCAGGATCTGGCCCTGTTCTGGGCTTCACAGTACCACGGTGATGCTTACACCACACGCCACTGTCACTGTCTGCCACCCTGTCTCCTTCACTGAGTATGAGCCTGAGGAGAGGGGTCTCTGGGCACGGGCGCTGTGATGATTGCAGGCCCAGCTGACCGTGGGTGTTCCTGACATCATGGACGGATGAACTGATGGATGGACGGGGGTGGGGGATCGGTAGGCGTCTCTTAGGTACCCACAGCTGGCCAGGGTGCAGCCTGCGTTTAAGGAGTGCCCAGTGTGGTTAAAGACAAAGAAAGAAGCACAAAGTAACAATAGCATGTGACAGGGCCAAGATTGTGGGGCTGGGCCCTGGGCACCAAACCCCAAGGAGGAGGGGGAGCATAGCCAAGCTTTCAGAGGAGGTGAGGGCGGGCGAGCCAGCCTGAGCCAGTGATAAGAGGTGTTAGTGACAATAGCCACTATCTGCCAGGCAGTTCCTCCCGGCCTTACAGCAGCCCTGTGAGACAAGGACTGTTATGGTCCTTATTTTACGGGAGACCAAGCCGAGGCTCAGAGAGGCCTGCCTGCCCAAGGTCTCAGAGCTGGCAGTGTGGGGCTCGAGTAAGCTCGCTGAGGGAGCCTGGGCTGAGGGCCTCCCTACATTATGATAAATAGTCATGGGCACTCAAAGGTAGATGAGGCCCCGGCATGTAGCCCACCTTAGAAGGGACCTCAGTGAGCGCTGTCCTAAGGGCCAATGCTGGGCAGCAGCCTGCAGGGCTGCTGAGAGCAGAGGCTTAGTCACTTGGGCCCTGTACACTGCATGACCCAGGTCATGACCCACATCGAGGCCTCACGTCCTTATCTGTGAGAGGCATCTGTAATGCCGACCACTGGGCAGCTGGCACAGCATCATAATTTTCAGGCAGGCTACTGGGGGGATCTTGTGGCAGGACAGGGCTCTCATCCACCCATATCACAGAGGAAATGCTGCCTCACCACAGGCGCACCACCACGCAGGCAGAGCTGGAACTTCCTGTGTGCGTGCCATTGCACCCCTGTCCTGGCTGTGGGCCTCTGCTGCGCATCCCGGTACTGGGGCTCACTGGCTTCATGGCTGTATGTGACTCCTTCCCTCCCTTCCTAGGAAGGGCTCTGCCACCACCTACCCCACCCAGCTCCCAGGGCCCCTTTGGCATCCTCCCCAGGGCTTCTGCCTGACCCCTTCCCCTGCAGACCACCCCATGTCCACCAGCTCCCTGAAGCCCTGGCCCCAGGAGGGCACTTGGGGTGATGGTAGGAGCACTGGGTTCTGGCTACTCCTTTCTCTGCTCTGTTGACTGGATCGAGCCTGTGAGCTTCCTAGGCCTCACTTTCCTGGCTGTAGGAAAAGTGGGACTGGCCTTACATGAATGACATTTTAAAATAAGCTTTATCAATTTATTCTTTCTTTCTTCCTTTCTGTCTCTTTCATTTTCTTTCCTTTCCAGTACTGGGTATTGAACCCAGGGCATTCCCACTGAACTACATCTCCAGTCTTCATTTGCCAGCTGGAACTTCCAGCTCTCCAGACTCAACTTCCCTGAGTGGTGGAGCACGGGTGCGGGCCGGTTATGCCCAGCTTCCTGCTAATTTCTTCTTAAAGTAGTTCATTGTTAAAGGGAAATAGTGTTTTAATATTACTTGGAATCACATAGGGGTGACCAGGACATTCTCTTATTCCTGGGATTGCAGGGACTCTGGGGGACTCCAAGAGGAAGTGGGTGGGTGTAAGCCTTTCCAACAGTAGCAAATGCTGGGAGAGGGGAAGACTGGCTCACGTCTGCCATTTTGGCAGCTGCAAAGGCAACAGGAAACACAGCCACTTGCATCTGTACTCCCTGTGTTAGCCTCTGTACCACTGTGGCGAAAGGGAGAGTCCCCAGAGCCCTGACCCACATCCTGTCCCAGCCTGGCTGTCCTGGTGATAAACAGTTTCCAAGAAGGCCCACAGAGTCATTTTTGCAGGGGAAGGTTATACCCTGCAGACTGCAGAGCAGGCCCTGGCCTTTCCCCAGCCAGTATCTCTCCTGCCCGGCACCCTTTCTGCTCTGGCACCTGTCCGACCATCCCGTCTGCGCACCCTGAAGCTCATGCACAGCTGTACAGGTACCAGTTTTTCGGAGACTGAAGTCTCAGCAGCTGCACAAAGGGATTTGTCGCACAGAAATACTTGCACAGCCGATGGCCTGCCTCACATCTGTTCTGTCCAGCAGTTGTCCCAACATCCCCCTAAAGGGCCTCTGTCTTTACCTTTGACCTCCCTCTCCTGATGGTGGCCATGGGTGGGAAAAATAGGCTCTATCTCAAGTTCCAAGTTGTCCTCTGACCTGCCAAATGGGCTGGGGCAAGTCGTTTTTCATCTCTTTCCCTGGGTCCTCATTCGTAAAATCGAGATAAGTAGCTCCTGCCTCATAGCTTCCGGGTTGCCTAGGGACCATTTGGTGGCAATCTAATGGGGACAGAGTGCTTCTGAGTTGGCCCTTACACAGTCATCTTCCGGGAGTCTTCCAGCCACCCTGGGGGGCAGACACTATTGTCATTCCATTCTAGAAGAGAATGTCCTGTTCTCTAGAAGTCTAGAAATGACTTGCCTAAAGTCACATGGGTTGACGTGGAGGAGCTGGAACTTGAGCCCTGAAAGCATTCATCCAGAGGTGGGAGCTCTGCCCTTTGATTTTCAGTTCCAACCTAGTGCCTGACACAGATCAGGGACTAAATCTTGCTTCTGTCACTTTTTGCTGTGCATTGTCAGGTAAGCAGTTTAACTCCCTTTAAATCTCACTTTCTCAAGCCGGGCATGGTGGCACACACCTGTAATCCCAGCACTCGGGAGGCTGAGGCAGGAGGATCACTGTGAGTTTGAGACCAGCCTGGGCTACACAGTGCGTTCCAGGTCAGTCTCAACTACATAGTGAGACCCTGTCTCAAAAAACCAAAAAACAAAACTCAGTTTCTCCATCTGAAAAATGGGGATTAGAATCCTTCCAGTGTAGAGTAGTTAGGAAGGATGGATAGGTATTAAATCTCTGGCACACAGAAGGTGCTCAGCGAAAGACTGCTGTTACTCTCTAGTGCTGGTTACCCTTCCTTTTCCTTAGTGGCCACTTAAGGAGATAAGCCGGTGCCCAAGTCAAGGGGAGGTCACCGAAGCTGTTAGGGCACATGACAGCCATGAAGCTCATGGGTGTCTCTTCTGTTTGCCAGGGGATTCGTTGGTGACCCCGGAGGTGGACTTTGACAGGCTGCTGGCCAGCCTGAAGGATCTCAGTGAGCTGGTGGTAGAGGGTGACACGCAGGTGATACCAGTTCCTGGCGGGGCGCGGCTCCATGCCCTTGAGCCCATCCCACTGAAGCTCTACCAGAATGGAATCATGATGTTCGATGGGCCCTTCCGACCCTTCCATGACCCTGCCACACAGGTAGGAGCTGGGGGTGGGGCTCTTGGGCCCCTGATGCCCACCATTAATTGGGGGTGGTAGAACCAGCTCATGCCAGGCCCAGCCTACCCTCCAGCCTGGGTGCCCTACCCACATCCCAAGGCCCTGAACATTCCCAGTGTGAGGCCCTGAGCTAGGAGCACTGCCCAGGACCAGCTGGCATCGCTGTTCCTCTCCCTGCTGCAGCGCTGCCTCCGGGACATACTGGATGGCTTCTTCCCTTCAGAGCTCCAGCGACTGTACCCCAATGGAGTCCCCTTTAAGGTGATGGGCTGCTCCTTAACCTGACCGAGTGTGGTTTCAGAGATAATGGGGATAAATGGCTTCCTTGGACATCAGCCATTCTGAAGGGAGGCACTGCCCCAGCTCAGGGGCCCCCAGGGGGATGATGAAGTCCAGGAGGAGGGTGAGCCTAAAAGAGGGCTGGGAAGGGAGTGAGGCTCCCTTGGCCACAGCCCTGTGAGATTCCCCAGGATGAGCAGCAGGCAGCGCCCTCTGCTGACACACCAAAGGCACAGCCTTGGCTTGGAGATCCCTACCTTTCTGTTACTCCCCAGCATTCAGGACACCTTGACAGCCTGGGGTCTCTGAGGGGTCTGTGTGCTACTGCCCAGCCTCCCCCAGAGGCTTCTGAAGCCATCTGTTGGGGTGGCAGGGCCGTGAGCCACAAATGCTGAGCAGGGAGAGCAAGTGCTGGACCTCTAGGCCATGACAGGAGCCAGACTGTGGCCAGTGGTGTGAGAATAATGTGTTGCCATGCAGTCCATGAGGCAGCAGGTTGTAAGGGCGGTGGGTTATGTGCACAGCAAGGACTTGTGAAGGAACACATGCCACAGTTCAGAAAACAATGAGTCACAACTGGGGGTGTCTGAAGCGTCTGCCAAGATGGGGCCTCAGAGCTGTCTGTGCCTTGATGGCACAACTGAGGTCCCATGTGCTAAAGTCTGATAGCTCCAGGGAGGGGCCTCTGAGGAGAGTCAGTACTGTGGCTTCAGCTGGCGTGGGTAAGGGCGTGCTTAAAGCATGAACTGCTGTTCTCCTGCTCTCTCCCAGGGCCTCAGTTTCCTTATCTGTAAATATAGGGATTAGGCTTGTTCTTGGGGCCTCTGGGCAGGCAGCGGGGGTGGGACCCACAGCTGAAGGCCAGGACTTGCTGCTGTCATCCCTTCTTCCTGCCAGGTAAGCGACCTGCATGACCAGGTCTACCCAGTGGATAGGCTGGGCCCATTCCCAGGCAGAGGTTGTGTGGTGGGCTGGCAAAGAATGCTCAAGGCCTCAGACAGGATGGAGGAGCACCCAGGTAAGCTGGGCCCCAAGACTGAGCTGGGTGGCCAGGAGGCTGTGTACCAAAGCTCAAGATGGCCTCCTCCACCGTTACGCACAGTCCCTTCCTGGGCCAAGGTTCTCAAATGCCCTTCCCACAGGGATGACTGCCAAGAAATTTCTGAACAGGCTTCCTAAATTTGTGATCCGACAAGGCGAGGTGATTGACATCCGGGGTCCCATCAGGGACACCTTGCAGGTGAGGCCAGCCCTAATTCCCCAGTCCTCTTGGGAGCTGTCCCACCGACCCTGGCCCAGGGTGGCAGAGCAGCATCTTGTATGGAGGCTTAGGTTTGTGGGCCACAGTGAGGGCCATGATGGAGAGGAAATGGGAAATTGGAGAGCTGGTGAGGGTGCCATGGTGGCCCCAGAGGGCATCTGGGTTGGCTTTAAGTGGGGTAAAATCAGAATCCAGGCTGGGGTGTTAGCCCCAGGCCCAAGCCATGTCCTCACGGTGCAGTCCTGAGTGCCCTGCAGGCCCTGAGAGAACTCATCCTTCCCGCTTCCCATCCTGCTGATCTTCCCAGGTGCCAAAACCAAACCTCAGTTTCTCAGAATTCCTCTGCCACTGTCAGCCCCAGGTCGCTAAGTCCACCTGTCCTGGCTCTCCCCAGAACTGTTCCCAAGCCCATCTCTTCTCTCATTCCCGCCACCCACCACCTAATCTAGGCTTGGTGTCTCCCAGGCAACCTCTTTTTGCTGGCCTCCCTCCTCCACTCCTGGCCCTGCCAGCCATCCTCCCCCAGCAGCCTTCTCCCTTTATTCTCCTGATAAAACCCATTTCTTTATCCTGGCACTCAAGACCTATCCTGCACGGGCCCTTCTGACCTCTAACCTTTCCTTTCTTGCATTCTGAGTTACAGCTTCGGCTGTGAACAGCTGGCAGTTTCCCAAATGTATCACTTCCTGCAGGACACTTTCCCTGACCTCAGGTTCTGCCGTTCCCTGCTGTTGGGACCATCTTTGTCCACATCCCACTTTGAAGAGCTCCTACCTATCCTTCAGTCAGCTCCAGTGTCATTTTCCCAGGGAAGCTCTCTGGGCAGGCACCTAGCATGGTCATCTTCTGTGTGGGCTCCTGTCCTGGCCATGAGATGGGGAGGATTCTTGGAGAAATGATGGGGCTGCCTCCAGGAGCCTCCTTCCATTTCTTCTTGGGTCTCAGTTTACACAGAACAGACCATCCTCTTGGTTTACTGGTCTTCATCTATTCCTGCTCAAGGATGAGTTAAGGGTTGGGGAACTACTCAGGTGGGGTCCAGGGCTCCGTCCACTCTTCATGGATGCCTTCCAGAACTACTGCCCATTGCCTGTCCCGATCCAGGAGATCATAGTGGAGACACCTGCCTTGGCTGCTGAGCGACAGAGGTACGGGCAGGCAGAAAGGTGAGGGCCTGGGGTAGGGGTCGGCCACTGGGACACTGAGGGCCTCTAGGCCTGCAGGAGCCAGGAATCACCCAACACACCAGCTCCCCCACTCTGCATGCTGCGCGTCAAGTCCGAGAATGGGGAGCAGGCCTTCCTACTGATGATGTGGCCCGAGGACACTGTTGGCACCGTGCGTGCCCTGCTAGCGCAGGCCAGGTGGGGACAGGGCAGGGCTGGGGGCTGTAGGGAGGCTCTGACCCTGTGGCCCAGCCTGATCCACTCTGCTGGGCCTCCAGGGCCGTGGATGCTACCACTTTTGAGATCTTCAGCACATTCCCACCCACAGTCTACCAGGATGATGCACTTACACTGCAGGACACAGGCCTGGTGCCCAGTGCAACGCTGCTATTGCGGGCATGCAGGGCCCAGTTGCCCAACCCCAGCTTTGGCCCCAGCTTGGGCTCTGGCCCCAGCCCTGAATAAAGTGCTGCCTCTGACACAATCAGCTCTACAGGGCTCTCTTGGCAGGACTGTCTCCAGGGGAAGGGGTAGGCCAGCTGGGCCAAGGAAGGGGCGGTGCTGACTCTCCCTCAGTAACTTGAGCCCCAGCTGGTTGGCTTGGTGCTGGGTCTTTGTGCTCCAGGTTCCTTCTCCCAGGAAGGGCTAAGTGGAGCCTGTGAAGGGAGGGATCCTGAGAAGGGAGTGGCCAGGCCTTGCTGGGTTTGCATTCTCAGCCTCAGCTGGAAGGACAGCCTCACTGTGCATGTGTGCACTGATACACACAGACCCACAGCTTGTGGGGACACTTCCTCAGCACTGCATAAAACCACCACCACTACACCCATGGCCTCAAACTGACAGAACTGCAGTTGTGCACCCACATCCACAACATACCTATACTTAGCAATCTGCTCCAACACAGGCAGGCAGCGACTCACTGACAGGCATGCTAAGGGACACCAGCACGTGCATGTGAACTGGAGGTGGCCCATCCAGTCTCTAGAAACTGCTGGTCCATATAAGCATACGTACCAGGCATAGGTCCAAACACACGCACTGACACACACAAGTGAAAGACGCATGAGCACAGCTTCAGCACAATCACAACTACCAGGTTTACCCAGAACAGACTCAGGATGCCCAGGCCACAACCAAACAGACAGTGCCAATGGAATGGGCATTTAATTGTCTCTATGGTATTCCCGGGAAGGGGACCGTGGGGCCTTTGGCAGAGCTCTGGCTAATGGAACTAACGAAGTGCCCACCAGCCAGTGCCAGGCAGGTTGGCGGCCCCAAGGCCTGGCTGAGGATAGCCAGCATTGGGGCTGTTTTAAGACAATTTCTGAGACAGTAGCTAAGGAATGTTGCCTGTGAATGGAGAAAAGGGAGCTACAGAGAGGGAGGAGGGGGTATAGGTTAGGGTAAGGGACCCCAAGTAAGAAAGTTAGGAACGACAGGGAGTTGGTCACAGGGTCCTTTGAGGCTGGGTGAGATCAGTGGGGGAATGTGGTGCTGAGTCCAGTGGGAACAGTGGGCCGGCTCTCAGGCTAGCTTCAGGAATTCTTGCAGTGTGTTCTGTTCCACGGCCTCCACGAAGAGCTCATAGTCCTGGGGGAGAAGGATGGGGTGGTCAGCTGAGTGCTGGAGGCCCAAGTACTTTGTATGACCCTGACTACAGTCCACTTACTCCCCCAGCCCCATCCCCAGGGCCATACCCCACAGTACTGGTCCCCGTTGACAATCTGGGGTGGGGTGGCCTTGGGGTTGCCAACCAGGGCTCGCATCTCATCCCGCAGGGCGTTGTCCTGGGAGATGTCCACGAGCTGGTATTGGATGCGCTTCCCGTCCAGGATGCGGGTCACCTCGCTCTGTTGGGACTTGATCTGGGGGCAGAGGGTGGATAGGGTGAGTGAGCAGGGGTGGATTTATGGGGCAGACTCTGGGCAGTGACCAGGTGCTTTTGTCCCCTTGTCTCTTGCCCACTCTAGAGGTCGTGGCCACTAGGAAATGCGAGTCAGGCTCCGGGTGGCACAGAATGAAGGGCCACCATAGTGGGGTGGGGATCAGAAAGTGGGGAGTCGTGAAGTTCAAGACAGGGAAAAGAGGAACTCAGCCGGGTAAGGTAGGGCAGGCCTGGCTGTTGGTTTACCCACTCCGCGTGCGCATGGTGGGGGAAACGGGTAAGGTAAGGACGCGCT